GGGGGGAGGGGGGAGGGGGGAACAGGGCCGCGGACGGGGGACGTGGGGGGGGGGGTGCCCCAAAAAGGAGAGGAACAAAAAAAAGAGAAAGCCGAAAAAAAAAAAAAAAAAAAAAAAAAAAAAAAAAAAAGAGAAGCTACAAGAATACAAAGGAAGTCACATATACCCTTCACTCATATTCATCATTATTAACATTGTGCTACATTTGCATTATTCTCTCTGTCTTGTCTCTTTCTCTCTCTCTCTCTCTCACACACACACACACAAAACACAATGATACACACCCACCTATACATACCATTCTGAACCATTTGAGAACAAGTGCCTTTACCCGTGAATACTTCAGTATATATTCCTAGGTACAAAAACATTATCTTCACAACCACAATTAAATTATCAAAATCCGAAAACTTAACATTGACACAGTTTTATTGTACAATCTACATTCCATATTCAAATTTTGCCAACTGTCTCAATAACGTCATTTATAGCATTTTTTTCTGGTCCAGAATTCAATCCAGTATAACATAGTACATGTAGCTGTCATGCCTCTTTAGATATTTTTTGAAGTGTGTAGGCTAACTGTTTTACAGAACGCCTCTCAATTCTTGTTTGCCTCATATCTTCTCAAGGTTAAATTCAAGTTTTGTATGTTTGGCAAGAATATTACACAAATGATATTATGTCTCTCTTAGTGCCTTATATCAGGAGGATCACAGTGTCTCATTATTGATGTTAATTTTCATCCCTTGGTTAAGGTACTATCTGCCAACTTTCTCCACTATAAAGTTACTACTATTTTTTTTGTAATTTGTGGCAAGATACTTTGAGATTGTGCAAATATTTTGTTCTGCATTAAATTTTTATCTAATAGTTTTAGTATCCATTCGTGATCATAAGCATTTTAATCCGTGAAAAAAGTTAAAGACCAAGTGAGGAATATTTTCAATATACGTGAAAAAGAGTAAATATCCATAATATCCAAAATGTTCTTTCAAATCAATAAGGGAACAGCTACACCCCAACAGAAAATAGTAAAGGGCTTTAAAAGGCAGTTCATAAAATAAAAAATCAAATTGGTTAATAAATGCACAAAACATGTTAAACATTAGTAAGAAACAGAATTTAAAATATGAGAAAATTTTCTTTTTGCCTACCAAATTGGCATATATTCAAGGAATTAATAAAATCCACTGTTAATGCTGATGGAAATAAGATAACCCTCTTATGCACTGCTGATAGGAGTATATATTAAATAATCTGTCTGCAAAGTGTTTAGCATACGTTTCCAAAAAGAAAGAATGTGCATGTATACTTTGATCCAGAAATTCCACTTAATACACTTACGATAATACACTTAATAACAGAAAATTGAGAATAAATGACCCTTTTTTTTTAACATCTTTATTGGAGTATAACTGCTTTACAATGGTGTGTTAGTTTCTGCTGTATAACAAAGTGAATCAGCTATATGTATACATATATCCCCATATCCCCTTCCTCTTGCATCTCCCTCCCACCCTCCCTATCCCACCCTTCTAGTGGGACACAAAGCACCGAGCTGATCTCCCTGTGCTATGCAGCTGCTTCCCACTAGCTATCTATTTTACATTTGGTAGTGTATATATGTCAATGCCACTCTCCCACTTTGTCCCAGCTTACCCGTCCCCCTCCCTGTGTCCTCAAGTCCATCCTCTACATCTGCATCTTTGAGAATAAATGACCATTAATTGACATTCATTCAATGAAATATCAATACTCTGCAGCCATTTAATAAATTCTACAGCATTTCAAGAGAAGGTGGCTTGCAAAATCTTATACCCACCCAATTTGTTTTCAAACGTAAAGGCAACAGACAATTCCAAAATTTAAAAGTTCAGGGTATAAAGCCCCCATGACTTCCTCTTGAAAATAATTCCTTGACAGTGAAATTCAGCCAAGCAAAACATGAATCAAAATAAAGAACTCAGAAATTTAGAAATCAAAGAGGAAAAACTATGATGAACAGTGAATTCATATAAATATAAGGAATATATCTATATAAATATAGGGATATATATAAATATATCATATAAATATAGGAAATATATATATCATAAATATATATCATATATATTATATAATATATATTATATATTATGATATATTATATCATATATTATATCACATATGATATATCATATATCATATATCATAAATATATCATTTATATATTATATATAAATATATAATATATCATATAAATATAGGGAATATCTGAGGGAATTATGGTTGCAGATCAAAATGTAAAAGTAATAAACCCTTAAAAAGGAAAAAATATCAGCAACAAAGATTAGAAGGTAGGGCGAGGGAAAATGGGAAGAGATGTGGTATTAATCACCTTATTATTCATATCTCAGAGTTCATCTTCATTACCCTAAACCTGAACCATTTAATAAAAAAATAACTATTCCAACTTTGTAGTAACTTTTAAATCCCCTTTCTTAATCTTGGAAGACCCCTTTAGAACTGATATCTCTAACAGTATAGAAATAATTATTTAAATTCTGTAATTCCTTCAGTTTCCCTTCTTTTCATCCCATTAAATTCAACTAAAATTAATATTTTATATTATATTTAATATTTTCTTTAAATAGTGCATGTGAGCTAAGATCCATTTCTTACTAAGTTATTTCTACTATCTAATTAT